CTTTTGACTATCAACTAGGCCAGAAAGCAAGTCTCAGCACATTTCAAGGGCCTGATTATTGCAGAAACCACAATGTGATTACCTCAGTAGTCAATAAAAAAAAAAAAAAAAAAAAAAGAAAATTCCGTATGTTTGGAAACCTATTACTAAATAACTAGTACATCAAAGAAGAATTATGGGAAATTTGAATGTATTTAGAAATAGGATCAAAATACTGCATATCAAAAACTTGTGGGATAAAGCTGAAGTATAGTTCGTAGAAAATTTAAAACCTCAAATATGTGTATTAGAGGAAAAGAGGCTTGAAGCAAATGAAAAAAGTAATGAGCTAAGTACCATCTTGAGTTAGGAAAAAAAGCAGCAAAACAGATCCAAAGAAAGTAGAAGAAAAGGGCTAATGATGACAAGAGTAGAAATTAAGAGAAATAAAACAAACATAAAAGAGCAAGGATCAATAAAGTCAGACTTGATCATTTGAAAAGAGATCAAACTGACAAACCTCTGACAATATGGATGGAAAAAAGGAAGGTAAATAATAGGAATAAACGAAGGAACATAAATGCAGATGGTGTAGACATTAGAAATATAATCAACAGGCTATGATCAACTTCATATTAATTTGGAAATTCAGATGAAATGGAAAAATTCCTGGTAAAATATAACTGAATGAAGGAGAATAACAAACTCGAATAGCTAGTTCTATAATCAAAAGCAAGACCAAGACTGAATCAGTAATTTTTTTTCTTTTTTTTAGACAGTGCCTCACTTTGTCACCCAGGCTGGAGTGCAGTGCCGTGATCACAGCTCACTCCAGTTTTGACCTTTTGTGCTCAAGTGATCCTCCCACCTCAGTCTCCTGAGTAGCTAGGACTAGAGTTGTGTGCCACCATGCCTGGCTAATTTTTAAAATTTTTTTTTGTAGAGACAGAGTCTTGCTTTGTTACCCAGACTGGTCTTGAATCCCTAACCTCAAATGATCCTCTTGCCTCAACATCCCAAAATGCTGGGATTACAGGTATGAGTCCTGGTACTTGACTGAATCAGTAATTTAAAAATAATTGTACCACAAAGAGAATTCTAGGCCCCAATAGTATTACTGGTGAGTTCTATGAAATATTCAAGGAATGAAAAATTCCAATTATTTCAGAGTATCGAATAAGGGAATATACCACTCCAACTTATTATATGGGCTTGGGAGAAGAATATATGTTACTTTGTATAAGAGCAGCAAAAGCTACAAGACAGATGTGAATCTTAAATCTTTATGCTGAAAATTATAAAACTTTATTGAAGGGCATAAAAGATATAAATGGAGAGATAGATATACCATGTTCATAAATACAAAGCCTTGGTATAAATATGGCCATTCTCCTCAAATTGATCTTATAAATTCAATGCAGTTCTTTTCAAATGAAATCCTATGAAGGTTTTTAGGAACTTCACAAGCTGATCCAAAAATTCATAGGAGAGTATAGGGCTTCAAGATAGCTAAGACAATTGTGAATAACCTGAATAATGATGGTGCTCTGGTGCTCATCCTATCAGAGAGTAATTCTTACTTTAAAGCTTTATTTAATCAAGGGTGATGGGGCTAGATATGGTAGGGGTGAAGAGCATACAGAACTACAAATAATATGGAAATCTGATATGACGGAGGTGAATAAACTTTTTTTTTGAGCTCTGTCACCCAAGTTGGAGTGCAGTGGTGCGATCTCAGCTCACTGCAACCTCCGCCTCCCAGGTTCAAGCGATTCTTCTGCCTTAGCCTTCTGAGTAGCCAGGATTACAGGTGCCTACCACCACACCTGGCTAATTTTTGTATTTTTCGTAGAGACAGGCTTTCCCATGTTGGTTAGGCTGGTATCAAACCCCTGACCTCAAGTGATCCACCTGTCTCAGCCTCCCAAAGCGCTGGGATTACAGATGAGAGCCACTGTGCATGGCAAGATAAACTTTTAAAAAAAGGTGGTACTATGAAAATTGGGTAGGAATATTGAAAATTATAAAAATTGAGGCAGACACCATGAACATACAAAAAATATATTCCCAAACAACGACTAAAAAGTGAAAAACCATATTCAGAAGAAAAAAGGTTAATATCCTTATGACATTGAGGATTTCTTAACACATAAACATGCACCAACAGTGAAGAAGTTAGTTACATTAATATTAAAGTTTTTTTTTTTTTTGAGACAGAGTCTTGCTCTGTCACCAGGCTGGAGTGCAGTGGCACGATCTAGGCTCACTGCAAACTCTGCCTCCTGAGTTCAAGCGATTCTCTTGCCTCAGCCTCCCGAGTAGCTGGGACTACAGGCATGCACCATCATGCTCAGCTAATTTTGGTATTTTTAGTAGAGACGGGGTTTCACCATGTTGGCCAGGATGGTCTCAATCTGTTGACCTCGTGGTCCGCCTGCCTTGGCCTCCCAAAGTGCTGGGATTACAGGCGTGAGCTACCGCCCCTGGCCATAAAGAACTTTTATATGACAAAAATCACAAAGTGAAAATCCAAGCCGGGAACAGAGAGAAGACATTTGCAACCTCTATAAATGTCAAGAGGTTAGTATCAATAATACATAAAGAGCATGTCAATTCAACAGGAAAAAGCATCACAACAGAAAAATTTGCAAAGGATATGAATAGGCAGTACAGGGTAGTGGAAACCAAATGGCCAATAAATACAGGAAAGGACCACCAACCTAAATAGCAATCAGAGTAACATAAATTTGAAAGCATCAAAGACACAATTTCAAACTTATCAGATTGGCAATAGTCCAAAAACATCAGGTTACTGGCAATATGGGGCAAGAGGAAATCTTATTGCTGGTGGGAGACTTTTTATAAGCATTTTGCTGAACAATTTTGAAATACTTAGGTTACAATGGAAAACATGAACATCTCACATTCCAATAGTTCCCACTTACAGGGATAGGTCTTAGAGAACCCCTCACACACTGCAAAAGAGTATTTGTGTGCTATTTTTAATAGTGAAAGGTAGGAAAAATGTAACTGTACCTCAGTAAGGAAAAGGATTTATCTGTAATATTTTCTTTCCTTTAAAAAAAATCTTATGCAAAGCCAGGTGTGATGGCTTATGCCTGTAATCCCAGCACTTTCGGAGGTCGAGGTGGGTGGACTGTCTGAGGTCAGGAGTTTGAGACCAGCCTGGTCAACATGATGAAACCCCATCTCTACTAAAAATACAAAAATTAGCTGGGCATGGTGGCAAGCACCTGTAATCCCAGCTACTCGGGAGGTTGAGGCAGGAGGATCACTTGAACCCGGGAGGCGGGGGTTGCAGTGAGCTGAGATCGCACAACTGCACTCCAGCCAGGGCAACAAGAGTGAAACTCCATCTCAAAAAAAAAAAAATCTGATGCAAGGCTGGGTATGGTGGCTCACACCTGTAATCCCAGCACTATGGGAGGCCGAGGCAGGAGGATTGCTTGTGCCCATGAGTTTGAGACCAGCCTGGGTAATACAGTGAGAACTTGTCTTTACAAAAATGTTTTCAATTACCAAGCATGGTGACACATGCCTGTAGTCCCAGATACTGAGGCCAAGGTGGGAGGATCACTGAAGCTTGGCAGGTGGAGGTTAACAGGGAGCTGAGATGGCGCCACTGCATTCTAGCTTGGGTGACAGAGTAAGACCCTGTCTCAACAAACATACATCTGATGCAAATAAAGCATTTGTTACATATTATTTTGTATGCTTACCCATTAATCTCAAATACTATATGAAAACATTTTAAATGTGAAACATAAGCAATATTGCCTTTAACATTTACAGTAGGTTAAACATCTATTGAAGTGACCTCTGTTCACAAAAACATTAGGAATGCTCATCTTTTTATAAATAATTCTCTACAACTTAACACCTAGTAAGTAAAGCTTTTATTGCTTCTCTCCTGGAAATTATCCTATAAATGGGTTAACCTTGTAATGCTGATTCAAAAGCAGAAGTGAAAAGGCAATAGAACTCCTTTTAAAATCTACTCTAATCTCAATAAAGTTTTAAATTTTGATCTCATTAACCTTACGAATGTCAACCAACAGAAAAATAAAACACACCAAAAGATTCAGAACTCTTTAAGGACTGTAAAGGGAGAAGCTTGAAAGCCTGAAGTCAATCCTCCCTTTGTCCAAAACCACCACCTTAACGGCTCCAGCCCCATGAATTCCTAGTTTAAGAATCTCTATATTAGAGGCTATCAAAAGTTAGTAATTGTAGCTAACTTTTATAGAGTGCCTACTAAATGCGGAACACTGTTCTAAGGGCTTTACATTTATTAAGTCACTTTTAAATCATAAACACACTGAGATCAGGATATTGGTTTAACTATTCTTAGTTTCAGTTCCCCGTAGAACACTACAATAAGATATTTTGAGAAAGATCATATTCACGTAACTTTTACTACAGTATGGTTTTAATTCTGCCACTTTATTATTAGTCCTTGTTAATCTCTTACTGTGCCTACCTTTATTATAGGTGTATGTATGGATAGGAAAAAAAAACAGTTCGTATAGGGCTTGGTACTAAACTTGGTTTCAGGCATCCCAGGGGGTCTTGAAACATATTCCTAGTAAACAGGAGGGAACTACTTATTTCCAATATCCACATAAGCAAACTGAGGCACACAGAGGGCAATTTGCCTACAGTTAAATAGCTAGTAAGTGGTGTAGACAAGATTCAAATCCAGGCAGTTTGGTTGCAGAGCATATACTCTTAACCAGGAATCTTTGCTAGTTAATTAGACAATTAATGAGAAAAGGTGTATCAGGAAAACTTAATCTGAGAGTTACAAATAAGTATTTTCTGAATGAGGTCGGAAGAAAAAAGGGTAAAACCAGAGTCTCCAAAGCACTTCTGTCTGTTGTATTCCTTGCCAAACAATAAAACTGTGATTCTGTTTCCTGCTTTGAAAATCAGTTCTGTTTTGTACTGCTCGATGCCTTTAAGATGAAGGTTTCTTTGTAATATTAACAATCAGTGCACTCTTTCTTTCAACTCCTTTATTAAATTGGTTGCAAAAAAGATATACATTCTTACATTGACAATTCTTATCATGAATAAAAGCATCAAAAATAAGGCAACAGCAAGATGTGCTTCACATACAAACAATCATGTTGTAAGAATAAGAAACCTGAATCCCTGTACAACAAAAAGATTAGGAAGCAAAATGTGAATAAGCTTGTATTCAGAATATACCTATATGTGTGTGTGCAAAGACAATACACTCATCATATACCTCACTTAGGTTCCTTTATGATGCATAATTCCTTAATCATTCATTTGTGAAACAAGAATGAATATTAAGAAACATGAAATCCAAATTGCATTTATTTTCACAATATCAATGCTAAACTCAAAATAGCAACTTCATTGACTCTCAATGGTAAATTTCAAACATGGAAAGCAATCTTAATTTTTTTTAACCCTGTGAATAGGGTCTGCAAAAAACAGTGGATTATTTTGATTACAAAGAGGCTGGGTCTCAGCCTGCACTTAAATAGCATGAGCAACAAAGGACAAGAAACAAATATCACTAAGAGTAATGCCCATACATATAAAGATATCTAGTTGAGCCATGTTCTTTCTACTTATATAGCAAGCCTATTAAACCACTAGCATAATAGATTATATCTCATGAAACAGAATTACTATATTAACTACACATCTATCAGAAATTTCCAAATCCCTGCTCCCAACACAATTTTAGTTCACCTATTAAGTACCACGGGTCATTTAGAAAAACAGAAAAAAATATACACCTAGTCTTTGCAATTAAAATCATCATAACATAAACAATGTTAGATATAAATTTTGAACTCAATATGTTTTTCCTACATATTTATGTAATCAAGGCTTTTTAAGCAAAGACGGGTCTTAGGTATATGATCTGTACAAACTTACAGTAGTGTATATTCCAAATAAAGATTTTTCTTCCTACTATGGTATGACAATATAACTGCTTTCTGAATGAAGATACATGTTAAGGCTTAAGGTGTAAACACTTTGGAAGGCAAACAGCTTAGTGAAAAAAATTATGGTTCATTTCAAAATGTGTATCATTTCATAATAGGCCCCTGAAGTTTCAAATTTACATGTGAGAACACATTTACATCTTAACTTTCTAGGAAAGGCACAGGCTTTATGTAAAAAAGCAGCAAAATTTTAAACCCACCAATATATTGACAAAGCCATTACTTTTATTAGAAACAAATAATGCTTCTCAAGATGTTGGCAACATGTCATAGTATCAACATATACTTCATACAGTGTATTTTTCCCTTTAATTATATTCCGGTAGGAGGTGGAATACCTCCTTGGCTATGAGGGGCAGACGTATTTGATGGACTGTGTAGGCTGGTCTCTTTGTATACAAACCAAGCATTTCCTCCCCAAAGTATCATATTCAGAAAGCCAAAGATCTACGAAAGAGAAAAATAAATATGAAAAGCAAATACCTACTTATAAAAAGTCATGCCCTACTTAAAAAAATCTCACTTCTTCTTTAAATATTTTTAGGCAGTACGCCATTATTTCACTTAAAGTTTAATACTAAACACAATGTGAAATAAAGAAGGAAGACTATATTTCAACGTACAAAATGTGGTTATATAAATGACTTATTCCCAATGAAATAAGGCTAAATCTCTAAATCTGTAACATATAAAATCATGGCTAAGAGATTTAGCTATTCTTCCGAATGCTTTCACTTTCCTCCTATTTAGAATGATTATCAACTGCTCGTGTACCTTTTCCCATTTACCTCTTATCACCCCCTCCTACCATCTCTTCTACTCCAATCCAACAGTTGTAGCTACAAAAAAAGAGGAGTCACACAACTTTACTTCCCATCCCAATTAGTCAACCTCAAAGAAATTAATCTTCCTGGCTGGGTGTGATGGCTCACGCCAGAAACCCCAGCACTTTGAGAGGCTGAAGCAGGCAGATCACTTGAGGTCAGGAGGAGTTTGAGACCACCTGACCAACATGGTGAAACCCTGTCTCTACTGAAGATACAAAAGAATTAGCCGGGAGTGGAGGCACATGCCTGTAATCCCAGCTACTTGGGAGGCTGAGGCAGGAGAATCACTTGAACCCAGGAGGTGGAGGTTGCAGTGTGCCAAGATCATGCCACTGCATTCCAGCCTGAGCGACACAGTGAAACTCTATCCCAAAAAAAAAAAAAAAAGAAATTAATCTTCTCAGATATAAATCTGACTAGATGAAAGAAAGTCTCAGAGATGAATAAAATCATGATCTTGTTTACAGGCAATACTTTTTTTAAACAAACTTTTCTTCACTAACCACTATATTGTAACTAGAATTCAGATAGCTGAGTAAAAATAAAAATCATCCAGAGATTTACTGAAAGCTATTGCTTTCCTGAATTACTAGTACTTTAAACAAGTATATGAAATAAATTATAAATAATGCATACATACCACAGATACATTGAGGGATCCCATACTGGTCACAGAGCCAAAGTAACACAGTATTTCTTTCTTCTTACAAGGCGAAAGTTCCTGAACAATATTGTGACCAGTAGCTATTTTAATATCTGTCAGAGCTTTAGCCCAGGCAGAAGTGCTCACCAACCACAAAAAAGTGGCAACAAGTGTAACAACAAAGTCCTAAAGCAAAAATCAGTAAGAGTTAATAATGAACAATTAATTTTAATACTAAATTTCAAATCCATGATGAAGAAACTGAGATTACATTCAACCTTATGGTACTGAGAAATGGCCTTCATGATATACTTTATTAAAAAAGTCAGTGAGCATAGTAAACATTGCTGTTAGTGTTACAAGCACAGTGCCCGAGTTACAACAGTAAATAAGACTCAGTCATCTCCTCAGAAGTCTAAGATTTTCACACTAGAAACCAAAGTTTTATACACCCTTCATCATAACCTCACCTCAGCCACTTACTCCCAGGATCATACCTTGGACCTTGTCATCACCAATAACTGTATCCTTCCATACTCTGTTTTTGATCATCCCATTTTCCGATAACACCTCTTTCCAGCTCACTCTCTCTGGCACCCCAATCCTAAAACTCCTTTGACCCCACCAAGACCTACAATCTGATCCTACTGCTTTCTTACTGTCTCACCACTTCACTAATGTACTCACTTTTTTTTTTTTTTTTTGAGACAGAGTCTCGCTCTGTTGCCCAGGTTGGAGTGCAATGGCATGATCTTGGCTCACAGCAACCTCTGCTTCCCGGGTTCAAGTGATTCTCCTGCCTCAATCTCCCAAGTAGCTGGGATTACAGGTGCCCACCACTACACCCAGCTAATTTTTTTTGTATTTTTAGTAGAGATGGGGTTTCACCATGTTAGTCAGGCTGGTCTCGAACTCCTGACCTCAGGTGATTTGCCCACCTCGGCCTCCCAAAGTGCTGGGATTACAGGCGTGAGCCACTGCGCCCGGCCATTCTCACTTCTTTTAATCAATTTCTACTCTAAGGGCCTTCGTTATCATCCCTTGCATATGCTCTCAACTCCCTTATCCTTCTTCTGCAAAACTCTAACTTTAAACTGAATTCTCCACGAGATGGATAATAAAATGGTGAAAAGCACACACCAGAACGGTATCTCTTTTAAATTTCCTAACCACAAATTTTAAGAATGCTCATTATATTAAAAAAAAGGCAACAACAAAAATCTCCCAAGACACCTTATCACTATTAACTCTGTACTGAATCCTTTGCTATTTATTGCAAAGAATTGGATGGTTTTAATATTTTAGAATAAATGGTTCTAATGGGTGGTTTTAATATTTTAGATCATAAGTCCAATCTTGTTTGATCTTCCTTCCAATTAATGACCAGGGTAGGAATAATATAAAATTTTTATCTTTTGGATGCTATATATGCTAAACATATACATACACTCAAGGACAGGAGCTCTTATACATCTGCAGCAAAAATCTTTCTAACCTCTGAATGGGTTTTGGAGCTTATCACAGAAGCATTTTGTTTTTTAAATAAACCCAATTAGTTTTTAATTATTTTGCCAGCCACCTTTTAGTCATTTATTAGGTTGGTGCAAAAGTTATTGCAGTTTTTGCTATTTATTTTAATGATAAAAACCACAATTATTTTTGTACCAACCTAATATTTAGGATAAATACCAGTGACCTCTTACGAGATATAGAAGCTATGCTATATAGCTTGCCCACTTGGTCAAGACAACACTGAATGAATACTTAAGATTAGAGAACCAAAAATAATTACTAATTACACAAACACGAAAGTACATGCACTTTGTATCTGAGCTCTCTGCTGCTACTTGTCCTTTTAAAAAACCTAGATCAAAGAGAAAAGCCTAGAAATATAGCTTATATTTTCTGCACTGGGGAAGTACTCCCCTTTTTACTGCTGTACATCTGCTATACATTCTGCTGCAGGTAGACATTTTCTAAACACTTGCTAGAAATAGTGTCTTTTGGAAAACTGATGAGTAACATGAGGTTATATCGCATGTTAAATAATTTCTCTTTATGGAAAAGTTCACAACTTTGATCAATATATGTCAAATCCTCTGAATTTTCAGGTATTTTCTTCCTTCCAAATTCTTTTTTTTTTTTTTTTCTGGTTATGCTCTTAAATCCACTTGGATGGCTTGGGGTATGACATTCTTCTATTTCAAAAGCAGGAACTTTTCTGAAAATGATGCACAAAGTAACCTAGGTTGAAGGAACGTGGGGGAATTCTGGTCCCTTCAGATAGTATTTGCTCTACTCAGGACTCTAGTCACACTGCACGCTAAGTGAATGGTGCCACCTGGAGCTCTGCAATGCACGACCTGCAGCTGCCCAGGGCAGCTCTACTCCTCCCAACAATTCATAATGTGATTCATAGATTTTTAGAATTTGGGATACCCTATTTTTGTTTGGATTCATTTTCTGGTATTCTCAATTTTTCACATTGCCTTGAAACCTTAAACTCCTGCTACTTAACAAAAAAAAAGTGCTATATTTACTTCAAAAGAGAATTGAAGTAGATTTAAATTTTCAAAATTGAAATACTCCTAGAAACACCTTAGCACAGAATTGGAATATTGCTAAAAGGGCTTGTCCTCATTAATAGTACCTAAAAATTAATGTCATATTTGGCTATATCTTTAATTTTGGGTATCTCAACCCACCCCCCACCCTCTACTTTTTTTTTCCCCTGAGATGGAGTCTTGCTCTGTCACCTAGGCTAGAGTGCAGTGGTGTGATCTTGGCTCACTATAACCTCCACCTCCTGGGTTCAAGTGATTCTCCTGCCTCAGCCTCGAGAGTAGCTGGGATTACAGGGACCCACCACCATGTCTAGCTAATTTTTGTATTTTTAGCAGAGATGGGGTTTCACCATGTTGGCCAGGCTGGTCTCAAACTCCTGACCTCCTGGAGTGATCCACCCACCTCAGCCTCCCAAAGTGCTGGGATTACAGGCATGACCCACTGCACTCAGTCTCTCAAAGAAAACTTTTAAATATTTTTATGGTTAAATTAAAAATAGAACTGAAAATTAAATTTAGAAGCTAGACTTTTATAGACAAGAAGCACCCATTATATAACAATAAAAACCTACTTAAGGAACCAATTCTGGATTATTTCTTTATATGACCACTAATTGGTCATTCTGAGGTGGAAAATTACTTTTTACTTTTCTGAATGATACAACTAGGTCAGTTTTATAGTTTTATCAGACAGAAAAACCACCTACAAAAACAGGTCTGAATGCTGCTTTAAGAAGTGTAGTATTTTTAAAAGTTTACTAGACAAAATATGAGAAATAAAGGGCACATTGATAGATTTAGTAAAAAAATTTGTTGGGATAATGACAAAATGGCGAGAAATAGCTTCTAGTTATAAAGAATTTTAACGAAATGTAATTATCTATAAGATCATTCTAGTTCCCTTTTCAATAAGATTTGAAAAGTCTGCAGAAAACATAGATTCCTAACATGTATGTTGGATAAGCACTGCAAATTAAAACAGTTGACATCTCATCTTTTTAACAACCGAGAAGTATTTTATGCAAACCTCTAGTTTTCTTATGTCTCCTATGACATAAGAAACAGAATAAATCTGAATGATAAAAGACTGTTGTATTACTTACTTACCATTTCCATTCTTATGATCCAGCAGCAAAAATTAAAAATAAATAAGTAAATAAAATTTGTAATCTTATTTAATATTCCTTCATATTTAAATAGCCTTCCCTTTAAAGTAACTTCACAATAATTAGCAGATGTGTTTTCTCATACATATGAATGACCAGTATCACACATAAAAAACACCTCTGTTCTCCCTTTAAGTTACTAATAACTGACTTTGTAGTTACTCTTTTTTTTGAGATAGAGTCTTGCTCTGTCGCCCAGGCTGGAGTGCAGTAGCCGGATTTCTGCTCACTGCAAGCGCCGCCTCCCGGGTTCACGCCATTCTCCTGCCTCAGCCTCCCGAGTAGCTGGGACTATAGGTGCCCGCGACCTCGCCCGGCTAGTTTTTTGTATTTTTTAGTAGAGACGGGGTTTCACCATGTTAGCCAGGATGGTCTCGATCTCCTGACCTTGTGATCCACCCCTCTCGGCCTCCCAAAGTGCTGGGATTACAGGCTTGAGCCACCGCACCTGGCCTATAGTTACTCTTTTATAGTGGAGGTGTAACTTAAAACCATGATTTATCTCTGGATTTGCCACCAATAATCCAGGGCAGATCCTACTAACTAAATCTCAGAGAATATTTCTAGCTCAGTAGGCTCTGAAGCCAAAAGTATCAGGACTTCAAATCTAAGTCCTTTGTTGATACCTCAAAGATTCAAAATTAGTTCACGGCTGCCACTAAGGCTGAGTATAAGAATTATCTGGGTCTGATTTTAAATTAAGGAGTTTAGGGACATAGACCAGGAATCAACAAACTTCTTTCGAAAAGGGCCAAATAGCCAATCTATTTTTTATCTCTGTTACAACTACTCAACTTAACCACTGAAGCAGCCACAGGCAATGTGTAAATGATTTTGTATGGCTGAGTTCCAAAAAAAACTTTATTTAAAAAAAACAAGGCCAGGCTCGGTGGCCACACCTATAACCCCCAGGACTTTGGGAGGCAAGGCAGGCAGATCACTTGAGCCCAGGAGTTTGAGACCAGCCTGGGCAACATGGTAAAACTCTGTCTTTACAAAAATACACAAAAAGTAACTGAGTATGGTGGCTTGTGCCAGCTACTCAGGAGGATCATTTGAGCCCAGGAGGTTGAGGCTGCAGCAAGCCAAGATAGTGCTACTGCATTCCAGCCTGGGCGACAGAACGAGACCTTGTCTCAAAAAGTAAATACATAAATAAAGAAGTAAAAATAAAAAATAAGACAGTGACCTCTGGGACATAGTTTGCGAACCCAAGATATAGATAATTAAGCTCAATAAGTTTTGTAGAAGTATAAAGTGAGCCTTCAGGGAAAGAAAAAAAGTAAGAAGCAGAAAGAGTTATGAGACTCTGTTGTGATATGTAATTCTTCAAATTAAAAGAGTTAATTTCGACTTAATTTTTTTGCTATTTGTAACCTGATGTGCTTTATTACATATGTGAGTTTCTTCCAAGTTAAAATGGAGTTAAAAAAGAAACAAACTTTCTTTATAGTGCAAATAGGCTAAAATAATTGAGTTAAACTTAATGGGAGAGAGCTCAACCTTGTGGCAAACACAGGCCAAAATATGCTGAACTGGCTTACACCAAGAATTTTTATTTCCAGTATAAGAAAATCTATATTTAGCTTATACAAATTATTTTTGTATTAAAAAAATAAAGTGATTACTTACAATCATAGGAAGTTTACGACTATCCAGATACAGACTCGTGTAGCCAACATAAAGCAGAAGGGCAGCAATGCAGTACAAGAACACAAACACTGCAAAGGTAACATAGAATTGTGCAGAAGAAGAGTAATCGCCTATGAGAACGTAACTTTTCCAATTTACATCACATATGTTTACACCTGGAGGTGGCTGAAATGATGCCTCATTCAACCTATTAAAATAAACGTATGAATTATTGAACTTTCCCAGCAGAGACAGAAACATTTATGCAAAACAATGAATGACACTTCAAAAAATACTCCCCAAATATATTAAAAACATTCCTTTGGGGAAAAAAAGTAAAATTCAAATATTATATTTAAGTAAACTGAAATTTTCATAATAAATGTATGTAAGTTATATGTGGTATTGGTTTACGATACACTGAATATAGACTGAATTAAATACTTTCATACCCAGATACTATCTTCCTGCAGTAAAAAATTAGGTAGGAGGGATTATACCACATGGTTTATACTTTGAGACATCATATTTCATTTTGTGTGGCAGAGTATGTGTGACTAGCCCCAAGAGAGCCAATTACAACAATGATTTACATTTTTAACCCTGGATCAATAGTTGTAACAATAAATATTGCCTTTCATTTTTCCCAACCATAAATTGTAAAAGACTTGTCACTAAAGATGCTGTAACAGTTCCTTATGTGAGAAGTGTCTAGGAGAAAGGATACAAGATAGAGAGGTTTTGATGATTACTAACCACTTATTATCTGACTTATCTTTAATATGGAGTTTATTTAATCACCAAAACAGCCTTACAAGATAATACTTCCAATTACTGGACCAAAAAATTGAGTCTAGGGTCAAGTAAGTAAAGTTAGTAAGTGAAAGAAGATTCTCACCCTGGCTTAAACATAGGACATATTCAGTAAACTTTTCAATGGATACTGATGTTAAACAAGACTTCACAGATGAAATATTCTTCTGTAAGTAAAGTCACTTACTTTAAGAGTAAGAAAGTATGGCTTTATGCTAATGAATGAAATATGGAATCTCTTTATATACATCTATGTCTTAAACCTATATAAAGACATAAATATTCAGTAATTGCAAAAAACATTGAGAATCTGGATTTTTCTTTTTCTTTTTTTTTTTTTTTTTGAGACGGAGCCTCGCTCTGCCACCCAGGCTGGAGTGCGGTGGCCAGATCTCGGCTCACTGCAAGCTCCGCCTCCCGGGTTTGCGCCATTCTCCTGCCTCAGCCTCCCGAGTAGCTGGGACTACAGGCGCCCGCCACCTCGCCCGGCGAGTTTTTTGTATTTTTTAGTAGAGACGGGGTTTCACCGTGTCAGCCAGGATGGTCTCGATCTCCTGACCTTGTGATCCGCCCGTCTCGGCCTCCCAAAGTGCTGGGATTACAGGCTTGAGCCACCGCGCCCGGCCGAGAATCTGGATTTTTCTAAGTTATGTTTCCTTCTACATTAGGGTTTCCTATATCAAGGTGATAGAACAATCTCTAGTTTGCTTTATTTCTACTCTGTTAGAATAAAATTATCAAGGCAACATCACATTGTTATAAAAGTTTCTGAACACTTACTCTCACTTTCTGTCCTATTTTGTTACAGACCAGGAGATGTTTTTAGACAGGCATGGGTCTGTGTACCACAGTTTGGGAGGTAATGATCACTTACCAATGAGCATGCAATCTAAATTTTCTACCCTCTACAATCAATAAATTGCTGGAAACCTTAATGACTCACTGTGAAAGTAAAAAGAGTAGTGAAACCATTAAAATAAATATAACTCACCTGAATGGATAACCAAAAGTAGCTGTAATAGTTTTATTCTCGGTAATTGTGGGAGGACAACTCACTTGAATTTCTATTTGGCCCTTAAAACCTCCACAGGTGGCAAAAGCAAAGATAGAAGCAATCTATACAAAGTAAGATGAAAAAAGACAAAAGAAAAAACAAGATAAGCATTACTACACCCCAAACAAGGGTCACTAAAACTGTAAGCACACTGATTATTAAAAATTGGCTCACTAACATTCTAGAAATTGTTCTTTTTTTGAGACAGGGTTTCTGTCGCCCAGGCTGGAGTATACCGGCATGATCAGGGCTCACTGCAGCCTTGGCCTCCTAGGCTCAAGCCGTCCTCCCACCTCACCCCCCAAGCAGCTGCATCACAGGTGTGCACTACCACACCCGGCTAATCTTTTTTTGAATTTTATTAGAGATGAGGCCTCGCTGTGTTGCCCAGGTTGGTCTTGAACTCCTGAACTCAAGCAATCCTCCCATCTTGGCCTCCCAAAATGCTGGGATTATAGGTGTGAGTCACTGTGACCAGCTCCCCACTACCCTTTTTTAAAGAGATGAGTCTCACTCCGTTGTATAGACTCAAGTGTAGTGGCACAATCACAGCTTACTGCAGCCCTGAACTCTAAAGTGATCCTCCCAAGGAGCTGGGACTAAGGAGTGTGCCACCATGCCTGGCTACATTCTAGAAATCCTTAAACACAAACTAAAATGGTGAAAGACATTAAAACATTCATTTGCAAACCTCGACAAATGTGATTTTATTTTCCCCTGAGTATAATACAGAAATTAATGTACCAGCCCATATGACAATTCATTTGTTCATACTTTAGTGTATCCTACTAAGTATTAGTATGAAATATAGAGGGAGACTCATTTATTAGTATCAAAATCAAAATGGGTAAATTGGAGGTATTTTTATTTGGAACGCAAGTTACCAGTAATTTGTAAAGCCAAGAGGCTGTAAGCAAAGAAGAAACACTATTTCATGAGCCTGTTCAGCCTCCCTTGTGGGTATTTCCAGGTATTAAAAAGTTGTTGGAGACTTATTTTCTTAATCATGCATATGCTTAAAAAAATGAATGATGTTCTCTCAAATACTATCTAAAACACAAAAAACGTGGAAGCAACCTAAATGTTGAGAGGGAATCAAACTATAATTCATCCACTCATTCATTCATGCAATGAAACATTATATAGCTGTTGGAGATTAACAACATAGAAAGTGTTCATTACATATAAAGTAAATTTAAACAACAAAAACTAGAAAGGTTATGCATCAAAATTTCAAGGTCACCTCTCAAAGGAAGATAAAAAATAATTCCTTTTTATTTTTGTACTTGTGAATTTTCTACAAAACAACACAAGTAAGCAAAAAACTCCAGATGTGCTGTTAAAGTCCAAGAGCTCAATCTTTCAGCAAGTGGTGATGGCTCTATTTTCAAAATACATTTGCAATCTGACCACTTGTACTGCCTCCTGATCTGAACTACCATCACCTCTTGCCTGAATTTTGCACTAAATGGTCTCTCTGCTTCTGCCCTTGCCCCAGCTTCAGTCTGTTATCAACATAACAGCCAAGACAATCTTTTAAAAATGTAAGGCAGAAAATGTTATCCTTTGCTCAAAACCCTCCAATGGCTTTTGAGCTCTCTATGAATAAAAACCAAAGTTCATATAAAGGCCTGCAAGATCCTTTCTTCCCTTATATTTCTGACCTCATGTTGCTACTTTTTCCTTTACCTAATCTGTATACACAAACTGCTTTCCGTGCAACACCTTTAGTGACATGGGATAAACTCTTCCTTCAGGACCTTTGCACTGGCTATTTCCTCTGCCTAGAATACATGGTTCACTCCCTCACTTCCATAGCTTCCTGTTCCAGTATGACCTTCTCCGAGAGATCTTCCCCTCACTACACTATATCAAAGAACAGCACTCCTACACAACCTATTCCCTTTACTCTATTTCTCCTCTGTTCTAATTACCACTGCTTGACACAGTACTTAATTTGTCTGTCTTTCCCTAGAATAGAAACTTAAAGAGGTCAGGGACTTGGTTTTGTTCAAGATCATACACACTTAGCAAGTGGTAGTAGATAAAATTCAATGCAGATTTGATATCAAACCTTCACTGTTGAACACTTGATATAATGCCTCCCATGGATTATTCCAGGGCCTTAAGTCTTGTAGGCCATAATCCACATTATAATAATTGTCAAGGGTTTGTTTCCCCTCCCTGCCCCCACAAAGAAGAGATACATGAAAAGAATCTGGTTACAGAAGTGAAGAGTCTGAGGTAATGTCCAGCACATAGTTTGGGGTCTTAACTGTTAAGAGGTGATCCCTGGTTTTCATAGGATTTCAAAATATGTAAAAATAACTTTCCTTGGAAAATGTGTCATGAAGTCATTTTTCATTATTCATACTAAATAATGTTTTATGTTAAAAAAAAAAAGGTAAAGATAGAAGAATCAATACTCTCTCAGAATAAATATGCATGAATACACAGAGTGAAAAGGCCAGAAAATGAGTCCTGAGCATATAAAATAAAAGAAATTAGATATACAAATTGAACCAATGGAGCAGAATAAGGAGGCCAGGAATAGACTAGTGTGTATAAGACAAATTGTATCTAACAGAGTTGATTTGTAGATCACAGAGGAAAGGAATGTGGTGGTTTTAAAGATATGCCCACCAACTCTTTGATAAAACTCCCATCAAGAGGTGGAGTTTGATTTCCCTTCCCTTGAGTGTGAACTAAATATAGTGACTTGCTTCTACAGAATAGAATATGGTACTGCGAAGAAATGGGATGTCTTTTCTGAGACTCAGTTATAAAAACATTGCAACTTTTTTTTTTTTTTTTTTTGAGACACAGTCTCGCTCTGTCACCCAGGCTGGAGTGCAATGGTGCAATCTCGGCTCACTGCAACCTCCACCTCCCAGGTTCAAGCAATTCTCCTTCTTCAGCCTCAGGAGTAGCAGGGGTAATTACAGGTGCCCACCACCATGTCTGGTTAATTTTTGTATTTTCAATAGAGACAGGGTTTCACCATGTTGGTGAGGCCAGTCTCGAACTCCTGACCTCCAGTGATCCACCGGCCTTGGCCTCCCAAAGTGCTGGGATTACAGGCTTGGCCACCGCACCCAGCCAAAGACTGCTTCTGTCTTCCTTTCTCACTCCTGAACTTTCCCATTCTCTGGGGGAAGCCAGTGGCCATGTTGGGAGGATACTGAGGCAACTTTTAGAGACTCACATGGTGTGGAATTGAGGACTGCCAGTAACCACATGACTGAGCTCTGAGGTTTGCCAACAGTCATGAGAATGAGCTGGAGACCCTGAGATAACAGCAACCCCAGCCAACAGCTAGACTGCAATCTTATGGGAGACCCTATGCCCAAACCATAGCTAAGCTGCTCCCAGATTCCTGACCCACAGAAGAATGGGTGAGATTTATTATCTCACCTAATAAAGGTGTTTTAAACTGCTAAGTTCAGCGTAATTTGTTATACAGCAATAGATAACTAATACAAGGAAGAGTTGTTCAGTAAATGGTCCAGATGAGCTGCACACAAAAGTAAAAAGTCTTTAAAAGAACCATAAAAGATTGTTAAATTCAACTACAGAAAAAAAATTGTAATCAAGTCAGCTGTTGAACGTAAAACAAGCTACCAATTAGGTGAACATATTTATAATAAACATAATGTCACAAAGGATTTACTAGTATATGGATCTAAGAGAAACCCTTGCTCACGTGTACTAAGAGATGTGTAAGAATGTTCATAAAAAACGGGGAGGGGAAAGGCAACAGGAAAATGGATAAAACACCATAGTATATTCTTACAATGGGAAGTCATATGGCAAAAAAGATATAAGAATTACAACTGCCTACATCAACATAGATGAATCATAGAAATCCAATGCTGAGTTAAAACAAAAACAAAACAAAAACATGTTGCATATGACTACCTAGAGTATAAAACAATTTTTTAAAAAGCTCTGTTTACCTGACTACATTACACCTGCCACTATTTTTGTTCAGGCCGTCACCATTTTTCACTGGGCGTAACCCAGCAGACGCTTCCTCTCATTTCCAATTTCATTCCAATTGATACTCATCTTCTATAATGTGGGCAGTACAGCTGCAGTACCCAGTAATGCTACTTGTGAGTCTTGAACACTTTACATGCCACTAATCTAAATTGATATGTACTCCAACTGCAAAATACACACTAGATTTTCAAGATTTAGTATGAATAAGATGTAAAATATTTTATTAATTTTTATATTGATGACTTGCTCAAACAATAATTTGGATAGATTGGATTAAGTAAAATATATTGTTAAAATTAATTTCACCTGTTTCCTCTTATTTTAGTGTGATTAATAGAACACTGAAAATTACTATGTGGTTTGCATTTTTGATTTCCATTGTATTTTTTTGTACTGGACAGAGCTAGTTTAGAATGATGTCACACTGATCTGAAATAAAAATCTGATCATGTCCTTCCCATTTAAAGGAATTTCCTCAATTGTTTTTCAACCTAAATTAAACAAAAAATGCTCAAACTTCTTAATTTGGCATAAAAAGCATGGCTGATTGATGCTCAACTTTATAGATAGATTTATCTGTAGTGTATCACTGCCAGGTACTGTATGATTCTGTCACATTATACTGCTTACTGTTCCTGAAACATACCATGTATTTACGTCTTAAATGTATATGCTGCTTCTTCTGGGAATGCCCCATCTCTAATTAGCTCATTCCTTGTGGTAGAACTCATGATTCTTCTCTTGAGCTATCACAGACATTAACTCTATTATATATGAACTCTACTATAGGCATTTTTCTTGTGTAACTTGCTTTATAAAAAATAAAATGGGGCCGGGTGCAGTGGCTTATGCCTGTAATTCCAGCACTTTGGGAGGCCATGGCAGGACGATCGTTTGAGCCCAGAAGTTCAATACCAGATTGGGCAACACAGTGAGACCCTGTCTTAAAGATAAAATAAAATTAAATTAAATTAAAAAATTAAATAGAAAAATGAATTTCCTAATATAACAAGTAGCAAATAAATAGCATACAGCACTACAGCTTGTTGCTTTCAAGACT